TACAAAGTAACCAACCCTTTATTCTTCCTCTTTAGAGATGCACTCTATAGAATAGTGTTTCTCAGCCTTGGCAACTTTAAGACATGTGGGCTTCCACTCCCCCCAATTCCCCCCCCCCCCCCCGCCGCGTGGGGGGGATTGTGGGGGGGGGGAAATTCGGGGAGATGAAGTCCACACATCTTAACGTTGCCAAGGTTGAGAAACACTGCTATAGAAGAAGAGTTAATATTAATTATGATATGTGTGCCTTCAAGTAAGGTAAAATATTCTAAATTTTATGATTATGCGTCACATTTCCTTTGATTCAGGGATAACATTTGTTTCAAAGTAGAAAAGAAAAATAATGTTTTAACTTAAGAAAGATATTACAGTTTGTTTTTCTTTTCTTTTCATTCTGTGAAGGCTTCTCAAGTTTTCCTGTTGTATTGGGGTTTTTTTCCCTGACCTGTCTTCACTAATAACCATTTTTTCCTCCAAGGCCAGGACTCAGTAAACTCCTATCATAATGACGTCTCTCACTTCATGCAATGACGATATTTATTAAAACTCAATTGTTTTACCAGGCTTGGTAATTATTGCAGATCCTGATAGTCTTCTGGCAAGATAATCCATTTTCCCTTCCCCTTCTCTTTTTAGCAAGGGCTGAAAATCATCCATCATGCAGATAAGACTTTAGCCAGCTTCTGTAAATGGCAAAAGAATATCAACCCAAAGCTAGATACAAACCCACTTCATCATGATGTAGCAGTACTTCTTACGAGGTAGGATGTTTTCCTTATATATGGCTTTCTTGTTCTATTTCCTATCAGAGTTTGGGGAAATTGATGCCTGTCTAGCTTTTGGAAAGAGACAGAAGTAGGGGAAGCTGGATTTCTCATTAGAATTAGCTGAAAACTATCTAACTTTTTCTGGGGATTTCCTTTTAGGCATACTTTGCCTGTATATTTGCAAATAAAGCAAAAATGCCAAAACTCTTGTCTCCATGTAGTGCTCCTCCTACCGTAAGGACCTTCTCGTGGTTGCCAGCACTTCAAAATAGTTTGGAACCTTAATGTTAAATAATTTTTGGAATCCACTTCCCCACAGCATATACATTTGTAAATGCATTTTCCATCTAAACACCTATTCCTAAACACAATGGCTAAGTTCATTTTACATGCCAGGGGCAAACAAATCATATTACGGCTTAAGGCTTAGTGTGGTAGATTTCCCATAGCCAGCTTGCAAAGTCCAGATGGTCACTAGATGGCAGCAAAGAGATACAAAAAATCAGCACTCTGCTGGCATCTAGTGGCTGTGGTGATTTTCTCAGTAGTCTGTCCTACTCTAATATGCTATGTGAATGCCATTAATTTGCCTCAAAAGTATCTATTTTATAAGTACGTTTGTACATTATTTGAGCCAAGAACTATGCAAAATTAGATAACTGAGTTCCACACATCAGATGGGGAACTTGAATCCAGTTCCTTTGCTTCCAAATATATAAAGGATCAAATGAAGTTTCTCAGAAGAAGCAGACAGCCTGCACTTCCAGATGTTGAAGAATTACAACCCCTAGCATCCTTCACTAGGACTGTGGCTGGAACCATGGTGGTTCTGTAACACATCAGCCATTGTGGTTCTGTAACATCTGGGGGGGCACTATTTCCCATCCTTGACCTAGAATATTTTTATTCCCTTCCTACTTTCAGTTATAAGCTGGTGTGGCTTAATTACAAAGATCTATACAGCAACAAGTTGTGTCTTTGAATCTCACCTCTGTTATGAACTTTTGAGGCATTCTTTGCTAGTATTCTGATGAGTCTCTGCCTCTTTCTGCACACATTTGCAACAGAGGGACTAAAGCACACTGTTCTCTCTGACTGGGTCATTAGAAAGATTGCAATAGGATACTGCATGTCGCATGTCGCATGTGTTATACAGATGAGAAAGAAACACAACCTACCATTGATTGCCATACCTAGTACCTACGTGATTCTTTTCTTGGTTCTTTCTCTTCTAACTCTATCTTGATCCACCTTCCCATAACATTCCAGTACTATTCATTCTTATCCTCTGTTTAATCAAAGAGTAGGAAGGGGACATTTAGGCTACTCAGTCCCACCTTCTGCTCAGTTCAGGAATCTAAATTAACACATCTCCAACAGCCTCTTCTTGAACCCATCCAGTAACTGAAAGCTTATCATCTCTCTAGCTCAGTGTTTCTCAGCCTTGGCAACTTGTGTGGACTTCGACTTCCAGAATTCCTTACTGGTTGGGGAATTCTGGGAGTTGAAGTCCACACATCTGAAAGTTGCCAAGGTTGAGAAACCCTGCTGTAGCTCATTAGCTCACTATTAAACTACTCTTACCCTAGGATTTTGTTTTTCGCTCAACATTTGCTGACTTGAATCCATTATTCTCTAGCTGCTTGGGGTCATAACTCTGCTAAGCAGGAGTTACCAGGATGCTATCTGCCATACATTCTGGTGTCCCCACCTATAGGACACTCCCTATTATCTCTGCTTGCCTTTTTAATTTTCTGGACAGGTAGACTCTCCTCTAGATTGGATGATGATGGTGATGGTGAAGGTGATAGTGATGGTGATGGTGTTGACAACAACTTTCTCAGAAAGCTTATCAGCCCATTTTCAAGCTCTTCCCCAAGCTTTGGGATAGGGTGAGGTTAGAGTGAAAGAGAATGCATAGGTCGCATCAGGGAAGTGTGGCTGTGGTGCCAGGTTTTTCTATTTTTCGAATTATTGGTTTTATTGTTCTTTGCTTTTCTTATGCATATGTTGTTTTATTCTTGGTTGTAAGCCACACAGAGTTTGGTTTAAGATGGGGGGCTGTACAAATGTAACCAATCAATCAATCAATCAATCTCTTTGGCAGTTCCCCAAAGGTGGGGGGGAAATACCAGGTTTAAACCCCCATGCATAGATCTATCAATAAGCTAGGATTGCTATGTATTGCGGCAGACAGATTTATTGTGGGTCCTTGTCAGTGATAAAGGAACTAATCTAGTCTGGTCATGTCTGTGAGATTACCTCAGAGTAAGCCAGTTCCGGGATAAGAGTTTAATGCCAGAATTTACCACCAAGATTTACACCCATGCCTGTGGTGAAGCCTGACAATACTTTAGCCAACTCCGATTATCCATAATTATTAACCGTGCTGGGCTGGAACTCATGGGGACTGTTGTCCAAAACCTCTGGAAGACATCATATTGCCTAACTTTGCATTAATTTATATTCAGAAATCTTTACAAATCAGAGCCTTTTCTACTAAACTAAATAAAATGAAGGAGAAATGTTTTTGGAAAACAACTCCCGTCCTCCAAAACCCTTTCCCAGATAGAATAAATGCAGAAGCAAATATTTTTAGTTCTTAATTATCAGTGTCTTTTGGCTACAAAAATCACAGGGCTGTCTTGCTTGTGACTTTTCCTACAACAGTGCTTGTTGACGATAATTGCATACTTTTGAATACTGCTATAATGATCTGAAATCTGTGACTCGGTTTGCCATTTTGTAAAAAGACAATTCCATGTGCTACAATGCCTCATTTCTAATTTAGGACATTATGATTCAGCATCTGAACCCAGCTTATGGTAAGGAGTGCATAGAATGAGAATAAAGATCTTGTTAGACCATAGACTATACTGATTGAGGGAAAAAAGATGTAACAAATGCAGAAGGAAGTTTGTGAAAAGATCATTAGTGCATATTAAACAAACAAGAGCATCTATGTGATTATTATTAGTATTAACGTTTTTTTTATTTCATGATTTAATATATTTAGCCATACATAATACAGGATGATCACAGGCATTAGGGTGGACACTCTCCTTGGCAACCATCCTGTCACATCTGACTTTGTTTAAAAAGATTGTTTTAATTTTTAAAATATGAACAGAATATGGCATACTGCAAACAAAGTTCATCATTTGTGGGAGGCGGTAGCTGAGAGCTTTCTTTATGTTCAGACAGAAACTGGGATAAGAGTCCTGGGTGTTAGAAGGCTGGTGGGGAGCATCCTTACCAGTTTGTTTTCTGATAAATTGGAGGTTTGTGAATAGGGAAACACCCATCCCCATAGCATGCCCTGTGTGAAAATGCCTACAAGATGTTCTCAACATTTCAGATGTGCCCATCAGCCCCCAAACGTTCCTTATTCCTGCACTGTGTTCTGGGCTCATGGCATTGGAGTATTTGCATAATGCTTTGTTGGCTGATGGCTTCATTGGAACAAGCTTTTCATAATGAGTTAGAATGGAAGGAAGTGATTATGTTCTTCAGATCAGACCCAAGTCCCAATTAATTGTTAAGTTCTTCTACCTAGCAATACACTTCAAAAACTGTCTTTAAAAAATAATAGGCAAGTTAAAGGTTATCTGTGAGCTACAAGCTTAGATGGCACCAAAGGGTACATGGCAGAACTCCTCAGGATGTACTTCCTCTCTTTAAGTCCCGATGAATGGTATTTCCCAAAGCAATTAATAGGGCTGTGTAGCACTTTGGATTGCAAGGGGAAAAGGTGTTTTGATGCTAGAGTGCTCACATAGCACTTCTTAAAGCAGCTGCATCTTTTCCTAGGATCGCATAGCTGGGTTCAACGTGTTCACTTCCGTTATGCTAAGGGGGTGGAGAGGTTTGAAGATTTCATTCAGTACCAAGCTCATAACCTCTTCAGAGTGGCCCTAAGGTCTGTATTTATTTGCCTCCTTCTTTAGGCAAAAGCCACACAACTGCAGAGGGAGAGATAAAGAGAAGCTGCCTCTCCTTCTCCTTGTTTCTGTTATTTAGGGGAGAAATAAAAAGACTGTGGTTACAAAAAGGAGGAAATGCAGAGTCAGAGACTCTGGAGGTTGATAATGGGACCTCTGCTGAAATAGGAACCTTGACGCTTGCACCAATCCCATTATGTATACTTTCCTAGAATTAAGGCCACTGAAAACAGTGGCCCTATCTTCTGAGTATGGAATTACACTGAATAAACAGGGTTTTGTTTTTTAACATCAAGCTTTTTGTTATGGTCACAGAAAAGACATTTGTGCTGGCATGAATCAACCCTGTGAAACCTTAGGCTTGTCCCATCTCTCAGGAATGTGTCAACCACATCGGAGCTGTAACATCAATGAAGACTCTGGTCTACCCTTGGCATTCACGATTGCCCATGAACTTGGACACAGGTATGAACATGTGGGAAGTCTTGGTGGGGGGAATTAAACAGATTTCTTTATTGTTTAAACAGAAATTACACAAGACTAAAGATGCACAAAGCAAAGTAGAAGATAAACTAGTAATAAAACATAAGTGAAAACATTCTGGCATTCTCCACTTCCCTTCCATTTATTTGCCCAACCGCTGATCACTACCTAAATATTTCCACTGTCCTTCGAATGTTAAACAACATGTTGGAAGTCTTGACGAACAGAGGTGTTAGTCTCATGGCTAGATCTGAGTTAACCACAAGAAAATGTTCACTGGAAGGAAACAATTCCAGTTGGTCATAGTGTGCATTTGGGAAAGGGAGTTAAGGATATGCAAATGAGCAAAACTTAACTATAGGTAGGCAAATAAACTTACCATTAATTACACTATTTGGCATTATTAACAATTAAAGAATAGGAAATGCAGCTTTTATTTCATACAGTACCACCAGGATAATACTGACAGTATTTGTTCCCTTTGTATCCTTATCAATAAAAGGTTAGTGTTTCTTTAGCACTGTATCATCCCTAAAAGATGTTAGGAGATTTTTTTTATATGTGTCCCTTGAATTATTCCAATATTTGCATGTTCAATTTTTTAATTTAGAAATTGTTTGCCATTCTGTATTGCCTTTAATGTAATCTCTTAACGGTAACCAAAATAATACTTTACCGCTTACATAATTCTATTCATCCATTCTCTGAAATTAAAGTAGTATTTTTTAAAAATGCAAATAGAGTGCTAAAAAGGATACCCAAATGAAATAGAAATTCTTTCAGTAGTAATATATCAGATGACCACTTCATGGCAGATTTGTTAAAAGCCTCATGTTGTTCTCCCAAGGCTTCTATAATCTTTTGCAAACTGGAATCCTGTGAACCCCTCAGATAATTTGCCTCATTTGTCAATAAGGATTTCCAAGCCCTGTGGTTGGAATCCTTACTGGAGTTGACCTGGTAAGGGTCTTCGTTGTTACAGATTGAGTTCTTACTGAATATGGTTGTACTGTAAGTGTGCTATTATCCACATGTTTTTCTATAGTCTCAGTGTTTAGCTGTCTCTCAGCAATAGCGATTTCCTCATCAATATTAGTAATATTGGAGGTCCTCTTGTCTATGTCCAAGAGCAATAAGGACCCAAAGACCATTCACATGGCATGTTGTTTTCCTTTCCATTTTCTTTCATGTCCCTGCCCTGGTCATCAGAGTTTATTGGGGTTACACCCCTGGAGAAAAAAGTCAGGAATTCTTGACTGTTTTTGAGATCTAATAGACACATCAACATCTTCAGTTACTGGGCATAATCCCTTTTGTTTATAGCCATCTTTAGTGAGGGCCATTGTTTTAATACCTGAGCCTTTCCTTCATCAGCTCAGTTTGTAAACATCTTTCAGTAAGTTTATAGAAGTTTATAGAAGTTTATAGAAGGTCTACAAAGAGGGGGCTATTACTTTAAGAGCATCGTTTGAAATAGCAAATTCTCTCTTTATAATGTTCCTCGAACACTGTCTAGTTTAGATAGCAAATTTCACAACCTTCCCATTTCTTTATGTTCAGCTGTAATCTTCAAACAGGGAGTTAAACCCCACGTATTTTGGTATAACCTTGAGGATGCCAATATAGTATCTTAACTACATTTATTTCCAGCCCTTATTTACAAGGCTTTCTATTTCTTTTACTCTGTCCTCCCTCTGAGCAACCCAAGATAAAGTTTCATAAATAATTTTCTTCAGAGATTACGCTCCAAAAGAGGGTAAACATAATAAAATTTAAGGCTCAAAAGCTCAGGTAAACTCTGGCTGTCTCATCCTCCATATCTCCCAGAAGCCGCCAATCTGATACCCAAATGAATTGCAAGTGAACACCACTGTGATGGACACCAGGTATAGTCTAGAGCAGAGGTGCTGCTTCTGCTGGTGGTATAAAAGTTTGGTTTAATTCATAGTCTACCTACCTAGCTCTTTTTAGCATTCCAAAGGCATAATACAGCTGTCACCCCAATAAGCAACCTCTTGCTATTCCTGCTTAAGGTTATTTGAAGAGCAGCTGCCCCGTCCTCGTAAGCTTTCCTGGCAGAATTTTGTGTTGAGATTTATTCCTTGGGTTTCTTTCCCTTCAGTTTTGGCATCCAGCATGATGGAAAAGAAAATGACTGCGAACCTGTGGGAAGACGTCCATACATTATGTCTCGGCAGCTACAGTATGATCCTACGCCACTTACCTGGTCGCGATGCAGCAAGGAATACATCACCCGTTTCTTAGAGTGAGTCAAGGTGGCAATTTTAGAAATGGAACAAAAGTGCTCAAAGCATCTTTCAGCTACCTTGGTGCTCATCTATTGGGCTATAGGCTTACGGATGGATGAAGATGGATCCTCAGCTATAACTTTAGGAGACACTAGTGATTTTTCTAGAGTTAAGCAACAAGCCTGCTGAAATCTCAATAATAAAGTCAGGCTTTACATTGTCTCAGTGATGGTTGGGTGATGCTAGAAGATACTGTAAGTCACCACAGGTAGTGCTTGTTTAGCAACCACAGTTGGGACCAGCAATTTGGTCATTAAGCAAAGGGATTGCTAAGTGAAACTGCAACTGTGCTCACAATCTTACTTCAGTTTTCCTTTGCTTTACAGACCTGTGAAGGTCATAAATGCAAAGATTGGTCATAAAATTACTCCTTCATCACTGTTGTAACTGCAAATGGTCGCTAAAAGAGGCAGTTGCTAAATGAAGACTACCTGTAGTTGGGATGCTTCCCTTGGCATGATTAATCCTGCCTTATTGTGGGTAAAAACTAACTCAACTGTACTCTGTGCTATAGAAAAAGCCATTTCATTATAGGTTCTCTATTTTATGTGCAAAATTAATTTCCCCTGGAATATCCATTTTAATTTCAAAATAGTCTCACTAGGTGAAGCCACTTATATTGCCAATGGCCTCCTTATATTTCTTATGTGTACGAAATCCAGGATCACATTGGTGGATTTCTATTTGTATGAATTCTATCTTCCTCTCTTCCCAATGTAGCTCCCAGATCATCGGCCAAATGTCTTCCAAATTGCTGAGTGATGCGCTATAATGTATTGTGAGAATTCTTCTAGGGCTGCATCAGGAATAGGGTAACACATCCCTGCCAACTCCACTGATGGAAACAGTTTAGCACTCTGTTAGATTAGATCCTATAACAATGAAGCTCTGTCTGTCTTGTTGATTGACTACTCTCTAAGCCAGGAATAAGCAGACAGCAATGAACCATAGATCTTATTTCAATGAAGCCATGTCATCCCCTCCTTTCTTCTCCTCTTCCTTCTCCTCTTGCAGTTATTAAAGACTGCAGATGGCAAGGCAGTGACATAACACCATTTTCAGGACATTTCCCCCTTCATCCTTTTTAGATGATTTTTTTTCACTTTTAAAAATGTGTTTAGCTTATTGAAGTTTTATTTTAATTTAGTATTTTACTGAATTTTCCACCCCAAATAGGTGGACATTTGTGCTACTTATATGGCAGGTATCAGCAGTTAGCCCATCTTGGTTAAACTCAAAACAACTAAGTAGGGTTGGACCCTCTTCATATTTGGATAGGAGGTCACTGGGAAAACTGAAGGCTGTAGGCTAGACTGGGTAGTTTAAAAAGTTCCCAGAAAAAAGCAAAGGCAAAACATTTCCATCTTGTTGCCAAGAAAATATTTGGATGTGTCCATAGGGTCACCATGAGTCAAGCTTTACTCACTAGAGTCTTTTTTTTTTTAATTGGCACTGAATTTTGCTGATGTGGGGAGATGTGAGGGCCATAAAAGAGGGGCTTGGGTTGTCATCTACTGCTTTAAGCAAAATGTTCCAAGGTTCTTCAACTTTTCTTTCTATGCCTTGCCTCCTAAATCATTGTCGTCATATTCTGAATCATCGCATTAGCTGATCTTTCAGAAAATGAACTGATCAAAACAGGATACTGCGATGAAGCTGTTGCCTGACCAGCACTGAACAGAACAGTATCTTCACCTCCTACACACAGTTACATATAATGTTTTTACAGTAATGGCCCCCAAATAGCCAGCATGGACAGACTGGCTTGTGAGGACTTCTCCATCACCCATTTCTCTGTTTCATTATTCTTATTATTAGTACAGAGCCACCTTTTCCATTCTGATGCCACTAGATGGGCTGAAGAACCACTTCTATAGTCTCCATCACCTAGTAGGTGAGACACATTTAGAGGGAACCAAGTTAGTGGTTGACATAGAAGATAAGGAATGGTCGGCATTTCTCTCCTTCCTTGAAATATGAGAGAAAATGTTTCACTACATTGTCCCACAATAATGTTTTCATTGAAAACTCTCCCCCCACAATTGTGAAGAATTAATCCTAGATATCCATTACAGCCGTGGATGGGGATTTTGCCTGGATGATGTCCCAAAGAAGAAAATGCTAACACCACCATTCATTGCCCCTGGAGTCATTTATGATGTTCATCACCAGTGCCAGTTACAGTATGGACCCAATGCAACATTCTGTGATCAAGTGGATGTAAGTTCTAGCATCCAATGTTTATGGGGGTTGTCATTTAAAACAGAGCAGGAATTATCATATACTCTTTGATCTGTGGCAGAATTGAATTGGGATTGAGATAGACATGATTCTATGTACAGATCATTCCTTCCACCTGTATGTTAATAGAAGAGAAATGCTTAGAGCTAAAGAATATGGTTCACAGTATCCTAAAACTCTTTTATTTGCCATGAATAGCAAACCACATCGAAATGTTGCTTCATAACAGTGGCTTCCAAACTCTGAAGCAGAAATCTTCCATTGGTTGTGAACTGTGGTAGTTGCAAAACTAATACAAATGCCAGATTAGAGAAAGCTAATGTATTGAGTGCGGTACCCCTACATATCTGCTATAGGATCCATTTGACCTAAAGCTGGGATGAATAACTAGAGGTCCCAGGGTTGCAGGTGGCCTCCCAAAGTTATTTTTAATGTGTCAGAAGGTAGAAGTAATGAAATATATAGTAAATATTCAGATTTATTGTTTTTTATTCTTTTTAATTATGTATGAATTTAAAATAAGCATATGTTTTTTGTTTTGTTCTTGCCCATCTAACTATCACCACTCAAAACCCAAGTGCGGTCCTAGAGAAAGCATTGCATCTCTGAGAATGGTTTTATGCTGTGCCATACTAAAATGGAATCAAAATCTGCCATTTTCTCAGAAATCTCCTCCCCCCCCACCCCCATCCCCCGGCAAAAGAGGCTTTTTCTACCTTAATCTAAGAGTACTGTACTTGAAAATTTCTTGCAAAAAATCTCCTCCCCCCCCACCCCCATCCCCCGGCAAAAGAGGCTTTTTCTACCTTAATCTAAGAGTACTGTACTTGAAAATTTCTTGCAAAAAATCTCCTCCCCCCCCACCCCCATCCCCCGGCAAAAGAGGCTTTTTCTACCTTAATCTAAGAGTACTGTACTTGAAAATTTCTTGCAAATTCTTGTTGGAGTTTTTGAATTTATTTTTGGTAAAGGTGAAGGGCATCAGGGATACTGGGGTTTTTTTCCCCCTTTCCACTACTCAAAAACCTTTCTGGCTGATCCATGGAATAATTCCTTCTGGATGTCTTCTCCTGAGATTTAAATGCCATATTGTAAACCAGGGAAACTAGCCCTCTGTAGAGATTATGACTACATAGTAAAGGACAGGACCTGCCGTGACCATCTCAAAACTAAAGCCAAATCTTTTTTAAAAGAAAAAAAAATCAAATTATCTTTAATTAGAATACACTATAGGAAAGCTTTTACTGAATTACATGACATCTTACCTCTATCCATCTTGAATTGGACCAGAAGCCTATCAGTAACCAATGCCAGCTCCAGTTTGGATTATTTTTAGGCACATACAACAAATTGTGCAAGTCAAATCAGGAGATGACAAGAGCGTGAGTCATTATTTTCAGTATCTCCTAGTCCAGGACAGAACAAACTGGTGGACTAACCAGAGCTGACCAAAGGCTTTGCTGGCCATGTTATTCGAATAGGAGCCATGAGCCCAGAAAAGAGACAGATTCTATGCTTGCTTCTTCAACGGAAGTGCAATCCCATTAAGACAAATGTATGGAACTTCCATGGAACCAGAGGATCTCTCTACTGAGAGCCTCCATCTTGCTGGGTTCAGTCTGAGCTTGCTGAACAGGGTCTCAAGCCTCTCACAGCCTGCAGACCCAGAATCAGGACTTCCACTGCATTTCCTGCTCAGCCTAGGATAGAGATATACACTTGGGGAAGAGGTGAAGAGGGCTGAGCCAGGGAGCACCCCTTACTGAAGAGCCCAAGTGTTCAATCTCTCCTCTTCCATCTACGTTTATTGGACCTGCCCATTCAGGAAGGAGCAGAATCATCGCAGAATAGTGCCCCTAATTGCTAACCTTTGTAAGCAGTGCAGAGGGATACTATATTCAATGGTAATGTATGCTGCTGAGAGATCTAACAAGACCAGGAGAGGTGCATCACCTCCACCCAGGTCCCACCACACATCATCCATAAGAGCAATCTGTGTAATTTCTATCCAATCCCCAGGCCTGAACCACAACTGGAAGGGAATTACAAGTTCATGAACTCTACTGAGTGTAGCCCTTTTTCCTTTTCTGCCTATTTAGAAGTAAATAAGGAAAGGTTACCATTGAAAACCATTACATTTGTAGGAAACAAAACTATCTCTTGTGGATTTCATCCTCCACTATGCAGAAAGAATTAATTTCTGGGGGGAAATGAGGAAGAGAGGATGAGTGGGAACCAAGGTTCAGAATATATTTCTTGCCACGTAATATTCCGAATCTGTATTGTCAGTTCCAGCAGTTTCTACTTCAGACCTTTTATTTTCATTGTTTTCACAGATTTCTGGAAATTGAATTTTTGCCTATCTTGAGACTAACCTTTCTACCTTTTCATGTTAGATTATGTATGTCCAGATACAGTTTGATTTAGTATAAATCTGAACTATTTTATCTATCTTGTAAAATGATAGTATTGGGAAATATTTCAAAATCCTTCCCTTCCCCACCAATATTTTAGGATAATTTAAAAAAAAAGTTGAAAAAGCCATGGGGAAAAAATGAAAGAGTACATTTGTTTTCTGCTTATGGTTTTTCTGGGCCTTCAGATCCAAGTGTGCCACCAAGCCTTGCAAAGTGGTTTCCCCATCACCCCCGCCAACTTGAACTGGTAGCCCAAAGTTGTAGAATGCACTCCCTTGATGTTACAGACTGCAGCATAAAATTGGTTATGACAATCCCATTATCTGTTTGTGCATTTTAGCTATTGCTTCAGCCCTCACATGCTCCAGCTGTACAAAACAGCTTTACAGATAATAAAATGGCAATAGAATAAAATTGCATTTTTAAGCTTCCATGACATCAAAACTTTCCAAAATCATAGCAATGAATATTAAATAATAAGAAAAATATGCAAGCATTATATACTGATGTCAGCCCTTCAAGGTAGACCAGGCTAGGATGCCAGAGTTACGAATGCTAATACTACTTTATTAAAAGGCTACAGAATCTTGCAAGTCTGAATGTGCTTCTTCCCTCCCTGCCTTTATGTTCATGAGAACTAGAGAGGGTCATGTATGAGACACTTACTCAAATTATTGCTTTGGTTATGGCTCTTCCTCCTGTTCCTCAAGGCTCTTCCTACTTCCCATTACAACCACACACCCATGCCCACATGCATATCTCCACACACAGAGATGTCTGTGGCTCTAGAGTCAGTCCCCAAAGGCCTTCCATAAGAGCTGGGGCAGGAGAGTGGTAGCCATCCTTGTCTTAGGGGTAAGCTGTTCCATAGCAGTGTGGCTGCCCCCAAGAATGCCCAATGTTGAGTCCTCTCCCACCACACCTCCTGGTAGGTAGGGGCCCTTAGTAAGTGCTCCCTGCCATCTGGGTTGGATAGGCAGAGGCTATTTGGGAAAGGTGGTCTGTTAGATATCCAGGTCTAGAGCCATAAAGGGCTTTGAAGGTAGCAACCAGGCTACAACAAACTTGAATTGTACTTGCAAACACACTGGTAGCCAGTACCACTCCAACAGCAGTGATCTAGTATGGTAGTACTGTACCAAGATTGTCAGTAAGCAATCTTTTAATTTTTAATGTCTGCCCCTTTTTAATGTCTATTGCCATGTTGCATGCATATAATAAAGGGGTAGGGCTTTGATTATACAATCATGGCTGCCATTGTGACTTTTTTGGCCCCACTTGCAAACATCCCTGCTGACAAGAGAAGAAAACCTGGTGCAATCCTGCTTCATTGCTCTTTCTTCCTGAAAAGTCCACCCATGTATCACAGGAGGATCCAGCTGTTTGAAACCAATCCTTTCAAGCAAATATATTCCCCAACCCTCTAACAATACAATCTCTTGGGATTCCATAAGGTGTTTGTTGATTTGTGTTATTTTACTGGGCAGTGTTATTGTTACCGTTTATTAATTTTCTGTTGTTATCCAAACACACCGTTGATCTTGCTGTTTGTCACCGAAGACAGATTCCTTGTATATATTTTATACTTGGTCATTAAAGTATTTGTATTGTATTGTATTGTATTGTATTGTATTGTTATTACATTTGAAATGATTGTTCTTCCAGAATATTTGCCAGACGCTGTGGTGCTTCGTGAAGGGTTCTTGCCGTTCAAAACTGGATGCTGTAGCAGATGGAACAAGATGTGGGGAGAATAAGGTGATTATAAGATGGAGAAGGCAAAAGTGGGAAAGATAGCTTGGTTCCTGTCTGATTTTATTAGTGCTGCAAGAATTCAAACCATTCCCTAGGGGCCTCATATGCAACATTTTGTTGTTTTTCCTGCATCTAAACTTTGCTTTCAATCCCATTTCTCATAATAATATCTCAGTGGTAGATCAACCTGAAATCTTGACCCGCATCTTAGTATCATCATTTTCTCCACTGGGGATGCAAGACCTTTGCTCTCTTTTCAAGTCCATGCCAGATCCTCCAGCAGTAGGAATGTAAATCCCTTACTTTTGCAGATCAAAGATATATTTTTGATATTTCTCGTCAGCAGGAACAGCTCAATGAAAAAGTTTCAGATTCTTCCTCTGCTCCTGGCATTCCTTTGTCTCAAATGTAGAAATATTTCTGCAACATAAATAGTTCATTCTCCCACCTACATAGCGTTCTTCTGTTTGCATTTCTAACTTTTTCTCTTAGTTCACCATTACATTAAATAACTGACTCTCCTGTATTTCTGGAAGGTCCAAGTTTGTTTTATAGCTGCGCAGCTGGATTTTAATACTTTGTGTCTATGGGACTATGCACATAAAATATTAAATAGGTTTTCCACAGGAACTTTTATTTATTCAGAGTCAACTGATGGAGGCTATTCTTATGCCAAGTTATGCCTTCGTTGTATAATGAATGGAGTTATTTCTCCATGATGTCTTGCAGACGCATTCAAATTCCATCCATTACAGCTATGATCATTGCAATTCTAACACATCTGAAGAACAGCAGGTTAGGAGAGATCATGTACATATTTGCAATCTGGAGGGTTAAACTAGAGAACATCTTTTTAAGATTAGGTCAATTTCAGTCTTGTGCTGAAGAATAGAATTATATGAACTTTGAACTGTTGCAGAAGGCTTCAGCATCATTTCAGAACATGGCTGAAGTTTTTCAGAAGACAGTTTTCTGAAATTATCTTAAGATTTTCCTTCCACTTGTGTGTCCATTTTAAAAAATGGAAGACTGCTTGGCACACTTCTCTG